AATCTGTCTGACAATGAAAATCCGTTGTATTGTAAAATTCGTTATATCAAAATTCATTGTAGAAAGAGTTGACTGTACCTTTAAATATTTTGCTTTGCTATATTTTACTAATTATATTAAATTAAAATTTTAAATACAATTTAAAAAAAGACTTCAAATTCAGTATTATAATATTGTTTTTTACCTTGTTTTGCTCATCAGATAAATTTGTATATTAGAGATATCTTTAAGGTTTTATCAGATTTTAAATTAATATCAGATTAAGCATTAAAGTTAACGGCTTATTTTAAAAATGCAAATCACAAATATTTTATAGGTCAACTTCGAAACATTCAAAAGGAAATATATGAGAAATACATTCAGTTTGCAATTTCTAAAGACATCAGATAGAATAGTTATTTTAATTGCTATCAAAGTTTATTTAGGAATTGTTAATAACTTTAGAATTTCTTTTAGATCTTTATTATCATATTCTTAATATCTTGCAAACTAATAAAGCAAGATTACATGAAGTCTTACATTGTTTTGCTTATTTATTTTAATTTTGAAAAAAATTCTCAGATAATGTTATAGCTGATGAAATTCTATTACGATTACAAAAAAGATGGAATATATGAGAACAACTAATTCTTATACTATTCTGATTACTTCACTCTGCATACAAAATGAAATATTTTGTAATGCTCTCAAAAATTAGTTATTTACACATAGAAAAATAGCTAGTTTACTATTATAAAACTTGGACTGGTCATAATCCTGAATTTATTTTTATAGAATTTAATAACTTTTTGCAAAGAATTAAATATCCTTTTAATAAAGCATCTGTTGCTCAATTTAAAGGTAATATTCACAAATATTAGTGTTAGGTTTGTGATGCTTACCCAGAAATTAGAACTATTACAATGCATATTTTTAGCATTTGCATTAATACAGCATCAGTAGAGTGATTATGAAGTAGTATAGAATTCTTTTATATAAAAAATAGAAATAGATTAAAGGTAAATTTATATTATACTATAATTAATGAAATTAATTATACTAAATTAATAATTTTTATTTATATTTATTTATATTAATTATGTAGTTTACTTGAGTATTAGAAATGACTAAATTATGAGCTAACATTAATTATAATTGACGTAATGATCAATAAGGATCTGCTAATAATACAACTGAAAATAAAAATAAAAATAAAAATGTTAAAGAAAACGAAATCAGAAATAAAAATGAAAATGAAAGATATTTATAAAATGAAAAATTAAATAATAATAATCTTAATAATTAAGATAACATAGATTTAAAAGAAAATTTAAATTCTCAATTTAATGATTATTTAAATGAATGGTTAGAAGAATTATAGCAAGAGAAAAGTAATGAATATAATGGTGAGTATAAAGAAAATAGTGAAAGTGAAAAAGATTTTAGTGATATAAATGTTAAAGATATTAAGCATTTAGCAGAAAATATTGATGCTAAATGGAAATTAGAATTTATGTTTGAAGATAATTTGTGTAATTCTTTTAATGTATAATTTTTTTTATAATATATAATAAATAAATTTACATAATTTGTTGTATAAATATTAATTAATAATTTAGTATATTGTATATGAAAATGTATTATATTAAAAAGCTTTAGTATAATATAGTACTGTACATACTATATGAAATGTACTAGTACAATACAGTATGATTCTCAACCTTGTCTATAGGGTTTGAGTTCTAGGATTGAATTCTAGGATCAGATCTTGAGATTGCAATCCTATTGAAATTAAGACTTACAGTCTAAGATTGTAATTTTATAGAAATTAGGATTTTTAATCCTTAGGCTACAATCTTATAACTAATAGTTCAAGAAGAATGATAAGTAATCATTCAACTTGAATGATAAAAGAAATAATTATTCAAGAAGAATGATAAGTAATTGTTTAACTTGAACAATAAAAGAAATAATCATTCAAGAAGAATAATAATTAATTGTTTAACTTAAATAATAAAAAATTATTTAAGAAAAATAATAAGAAATCATTTGACTTTAATGATTATTTTTTTATAAAACTATAATCCTATAGTTCAAAAGATTTTGAACTGGATCAGACTTTGTAGGACTGTTTAGGATTTAGTTCTATAGAACTTTTTAACATCTTTATATAATATTCTTTTAATATAATTTTAAACTATTTATAAAATCTAAAAATTAGTTTATATTAATTGTCACTTTAGTTTAATATATTTTTTATAAATATGGGTTGATTGCTAGGAAAATCAGGTTCCAGGAATTTTTTAGCAAAATTGAGATTTTTATTGCATTTTAGTTTT